TGCTGGTTCCGCTGGTTTCCCCTGGCCCTGTAGCATGCAGATACAGACAAACAACATCCAACCTTCACCTAAATTGTACCCCTATAGTGCCTGCCCTGCTACACTATAGTCAACCAAACAAACAGTACAATTTCGAGTTGGATAGAACTGAATCTGCGCAATCAAGTAAGCCGAACCGCAAAGCTTCCATCTTGGGTTCCTTTGCAAGCTCATCCTTTCTGCTTGTACTGTTCATAGCGCGTACAATGTTATGCCGAAGCGCACATTGTGCGAGTACCTGCAAATGCTTCAAGCGAAAATTGCGAAAGCAAACAAACACACGAACATACCATTCACACGCAAATGCATTCGCACACGCATACTCGTACAAACAGACGGCAGGATGTCGTGCAATGTGAATTTGCACCCAACACTTGTGACCCTGAACCGGCAGCGGCCCCACTAAGTCCATGTGGACCAGCTCCAACGGCTTCTTGCTCCTGCCAGCCACACTATGGAAGGGGAAACGGGTAAACTTTGAGATTAAACAGATTTCAGAATTCTCATCAGGTGGCTGTCCGTTCAGCTTCAGGCCCTTAACAGCTCCATCTTTCTCCAATTGCTTCAATAAGAGCATTGCCACATGCCCCAAGCGTCGGTGTGCCGTTGCCCAATCAGTCTCCCCAGATCTGGCCGACACTTCACACCAACCCATCCAACGGCATTGCACTCCCCCTGGGATGCAGACCCCTCTCCAGCCTGCAACCCATCCTGGACAAGATGCGTGATCTCTACGCGAAGCTGGCGATCGCGGGAATCACCTACCCAGAGCAGACCAAGTGCCTGAAGATGCTCTCGCTGCTGCCGGAATCGTGGCTTCAATTCACGAGCGGATTGAGCCTGCCGCAGAACCAGAGCTTGTGGACGCTCCAGTGGGTGCGGACGAAGATTCTGGAGGAGGACTTCCGTCGCCGCCAACTGAGGGGTAGACACGACGGCAGCAGCGGCTACGGGATGCAAGGGAGCCGATGTGGCAAAGGACGTGGCTTCGGTGGTGCTGGACGCGGTGCAAAGAATTGAGATAAGTATGGGATTGAGAATGAGCGCAAGGTTGCAACTCCCCAGCCAGCAGAATTCAAGCTCGTGAAAGCTGCAGAGGATAAAGAGGTTGAAGCCGAGGAGCAGCAACAATTTCAGTCCTTGGTGGGCAGCCTCTTGTATGCAGCAGTTCACACGAGGCCCGACATCTCTCTCTCGGTTGGGCAGCTGGCTAGGGTGGTGCAGAATCCATCAGAGGAGCAGGTGGATGCAGCTGAGCGTGTGGTGAAGTATCTGAACTCTCACCCAAGCATTGGAGTTCAATACTCCGCATCTGCACAGGTGAAGCAGAAAGGGGTTGAGATGCTGAAAGAGAAGGGGGAGAGGTTTGGAGAAGGCAAGCTTTTTCTCACTTGCTTTACCGATGCTACGTGGGCCTCTGAGAAGGAGGATTCCTCATCTGTGGGAGGATACATCTGCGTAGTTGGAGGAGGACCTGTTAGCTGGAGGTCAAAGAAGCAGACGGAGACAGCACTCTCTTCCATGGAGTCGGAGTATATGGCAATGTTTCATGGGATGAAAGAGGTGATTTGGCTGAGGAGGCTGTTGGAGGAGATTGGCCAGGAGCAAAAGGTTGCTACACTGCTGTTTTGTGATAGCAAGAGAGCTCTTGGGATGGCCAGGAACGCTGTGCTTCATGGGCTCAATAAGCACATGCGTATCAAGTGGCACTGGCTGCGTAAGGAGGTGAAGAGGGGGACGGTGAATCCGATCTACATCAAGTCTCACCAGCGGCCAGCAGACTTCCTCACCAAGAGGCTTGCGGATGAGCCTCATTGGCGTTGTGTGCGCATGAGTGGAATGAGCATGAATTAGTATGGAATGATGGGGATGCAGCCGGCAGGCTGAGGGGGAGTGTGTTGGGTGCAAATTCACATTGCACGATATCCTGCCGTCTGTTTGTACGAGTATGCGTGTGCGAATGCATTTGCGTGTGAATGGTATGTTCGTGTGTTTGTTTGCTTTCGCAATTTTCGCTTGAAGCATTTGCAGGTACTCGCATAATGTGCGCTTCGGCATAACATCGTACGCGCAATGAACAGTACAAGCAGAAAGGACGAGCTCGCAAAGGAACCCAAGATGGAAGCTTTGCGGTTCGTCTTACTTGATTGCGCAGATTCAGTTCTATCCAACTCGAAATTGTACTGTTTTGTTTGGTTGACTATAGTGTAGCAGGGCAGGCACTATAGGGGTACAATTTAGGTGAAGGTTGGATGTTGTTTGTCTGTATCTGCATGCTACAGGGCCAGGGGAAACCAGCGGAACCAGCATTTGGCTGGTTGGCAAAGACAAAACAGGTTCTGTTTTTAGGACCTGAACCTGGTTGTTGTTTTCCCAGGTTGGAAAAACAGAACCAGAGGTTGTTCACCAACCTACCACCTGCTATTTTGTCCAGCCAGGTTGGTTCTGTTGCTTGGGATCATCCCTGGTTGTTCCCAGGTTGATTCCCAAGGTCCTTGCTAGCTAGAGCTATTTATTCCTTCTCTGTTTGTACCTCAATATTGTGAAATTGATTCAAGCGAATTCCTCCCTTCCTGGAATTTCGTTTCTACGCGGTGCGACGGCAGAATGCTACCCGAGTCAACGCTAGTACGCTAGCACTCCAACGCTAGACAAACGCTGTCCGAGCCATAACTTCGTAATGGCAGAACTTTTCGCGAGGCAACTTGGATTATTTTAAAGCTCTTAGAGTGAGCTTCGATATAGGAAATTCTCAGCTTAATCCGATCAACGGTCTGCACGATACGCTGCGCGACGTTCAAGGTACTCTTGCTGTTTTGAGTAAGTCCCTCTTGATCCCTCTCTCTACAAACTCGGACCCGAGGATAGGGGCTGGTCTTGTACCAGGCACCCAAGGACCCTTGGAGGTGACCCCGAGGAGAGGTTTTAAGGGTGATAAAGTCTTAATAGCTTGAGTTTATTAGGCCCTTACACCAACAACAAGGGGGAGCGGTACTTTCTGACCATAATGGATGATTGGAGCAGGCTTATGTGGGCATATCCGTTGAAGCAGAAGGACCATGGCGCCTCTACGATACGGGAAGATTGGCTGCCATTCGTGGAGAAGCAAATAGAGTGTGTCGTGAAGCGGATTAGGACAGATCGGGGTGGTGAGTTTCTTGGAGCTGAGATGACGGCCTGGCTCAAGAAGCAGGGCATCCAGAGGGAGCTGACCATGGCTTACACCCCACAGTCTAACGGTGTAGCAGAACGGGCGAACCGGACAATTCTGGAGACAGCTAGGGCGCTGCTCATAGAATCTGGGCTGGGCAACTCCATGTGGCCCCATGCTGTTCGGCACGCTACCGTCGCTAGGAACAGGGTACTCACCAAGGTTGGGGATGACTCGTGGGTGCCGTTGGAGAGGTGGCTTGGGAGGAAGCCGCCGGTGGAGATGCTGAGGGTGTTCGGTTGCATGGCAGTCGCCCACGTCCCCAAGACCTACCGCAGTAAGTTGGGGGCAAGTGCAATCTGGTGTGTGCATTTGGGGCTAGCTGCTGAGAGCAAGGGATGGCTGCTATGGGAACCTTCCAAGGGTGTGTTGTTTGACAGCAGGGATGTGAAGTTTGTTGAGGGCATGATGTATGGCAGCTGGGAGAAACAGCCGGAGGCCAGGGTGTCCCAGCAGATGGAGCAGATCACCATGCAGCTGGACCTGACTCCTAGTGTGTGGAGAAGGGAGAGGAGGTAGCTGCAGAGGGTGGTGATGGAGAGAAGGTGCAGGAGGCACCTGTTGGTGGAGGTGATGGTGTGGAGACTAGCGGTAGCACTAGTGGAGCTGCTGGATCCGAGGGAGGAGAGCAGCAGCAGGAAAAAAACTAAAAAGCCGAAGGGTGTTTTTATGAAGGGATGGGAGACACCCGTCTCCAGGCCAGGACATACCCGTATGGCCACTAAGAAGCTGACTGCAGGAGCTGATGTAGCGGAACAGCAGGGATGGGTGGGAGGAAGGGGAAGGGCAGGACGAAAGGGGAGGAAGGGAGCCGCATGCAGGGGCGAAGGGAGGGATGGAGAAGGAATGAGGGTGGGAGGGGCAGCACAGACTCTCGAAGAGTTGAGAATAGAGCATGGCACTGGGAGCAACAAACTAACCAGCCTCCCCGTGCGTGCACTCGGCATGAGAGAATCAAAGGAGAGAGTTGAGAAAGATTGGGTTGGAACCTGTAGAGGTCATTAGTGGGTGTGTGCTTCTGGGAGAGCAGCAGCTGCGGATCCACGTACCCACGCACGCCCACCACTGCATGCTCGCCACCCCCTGCAGCCCCGCGTGTCACATAGTCAAACCCTGCAATCTTCGCCTGCCATGGCGTTTTATGGGACAAGGGTGGTACAGTGACGTGCGGGATGGCCTCATGTTGCGTGGCCGGGCAGGAGGGGGGGGGTAGAGGGAGACAGAGAATCGCTTGGTACAGCATCAGAATAATGGCGCAGGGGGTAACCCAGTGGTCCTTTATGGATCTTGCTCTGCTCCACAACACGACATGAGTGTGCAGCATGTTTGCGAGTCGTGTGATAACGTGTGGAGGATGGTGGCCTCACAGCACACACACTCACCTGCATGCTGCCATCCAGAAAAACGCTTCTAAGGCAAAGGCAGCGATGCAAGATGCCAAAGCTGTGCAGATACTCCAACCCGTGCGCCACTCCTATGAGAATGCCCAGCCGCTGCTGCAGGGTCAAAGGCACGCCGCTGCAACCTGCAAGGGCAAGAGAAAGAATACACTGTAGGGTAGAAATCATGGACCAACGTAACGGAATAAAACGCATGCGATGGACAGATGTCATGCAAGCAGACACAGTAGGGCCAAACGCACAAAAGGAGTACACGCAGCGAGGACCAGAGCGGGGGAAAGGAAGAACAGGCAAGCACCTGCATATTTGGAATTGGCATGGGCACCTACTGTGATTACTGGGACGTGGACTCAGTGAGAACGAGAGGTGTGTGTGTGATGCGGCATGCGTGACCCACCCGGTTGAAACTGGTCGAGCAGGCTGCCAGCAGGCATGGATTCATACACCACGACCTTCTCCCACCGGCCCTGCTTGTCTTGCTCGTCGCAGTACCCCAGCAGCCGCACCAGGTTGGGGTGGTTCTTGTTGCCCATCTCCGTCACCTGCTTGCCCCTTGATGGCGCGCACGCCAGGGGGAGGGGGCGGGGAAGGCACGCCAGGGGGCGGGGGGGGGAGGGAGGAGGCACGCCAGGGGGAGGGGGGGGGGGGGGGGACGCCAGGGGGAGGGGGCGGGGAAGGCACGCCAGGGGGTGGAGGGCGGAGAAGGAAGGGTGGAGGGCGGAGAAGGAAGGGTGGGGGACGGGTGGGATGGGAGGGAGAGGGTAAGACGAGGGGAGGAAGCAGTTCTTCAAACGTGTACTTTCCTCCTTCGCCTGCATCGGCTCCACAGACTGGGCTGGTAATGTGGCAGTATGACAGTATCAGACGGGCTTCCAGTGGGGCACGAGGCGACAATGCAGAGCTGATTCCCATGGGAAATGTGTGAGCGCGTGGGTTCTGTGGGTGAACCAGCACAATCCAATAACTATAATTTTGAGCGGCCCAGTTGAGGAGGTTGCAGGATCTCAGCCCTTCACTTTCATTCTCTCTCCTCCTCCCTTCACCTCTGCCTGTTGCACCTTCCCCCTCTCCTCCCCATCATCTCTCCTCTCTCCGATCTCCAGCACCACATTCTTCTATCGTCCCCTTTCCCCAACACCCCCACCACTCCCCCCCCCCCCCCTCCTCTCCTCATCCCCCCCTCGCACCTCCGCGTGGAACTCGTCGAACGCGCGCGCGCGGCAGCGCTTGAGGAGCCACGGGGTGGCGCCGTCGCGCGGGTCCACGCCCCTGAACATGAGGCGGTACCCGTCGCCCACCAGCAACTGCAGTGCCCAGCGGTTCGTCGCGGTTAACATGTCCGCCAGGGAAAACCGCACGCAGGCGCCCTGGATGGGGGCGGCTGAGGGGAAGGGGGGGGGAGGAGGGGAAAGGGTGGGGGGTGTTAAGGAACAAGGCGATTCTGGGGAGAAAGAGGGGGAGGAGCAGCGTTGGAGGCAGAGATACTTGAGAGCAAGATACACAATGAGGAGGAAATACAGAAGCCGGAAAGAGCGGAACGAGCCGACAAATTGCGGGCGACGAGGGCGTGCGGAAGGCGCGCGAATCGCCGGAGACATTCGCGAAGTTTCGAGGCGTCGCGAAAAAAAAAGGATGTCTTGGCATCGCTAGGCGTTGAGCAAAGTACTGAACTGCAGTTCTCAGTAAGAATGTCTTGCCTCTCGCTGTGTCCGCACGCTTGGCCTTGTCCGACTTGCCAAGCATCTTCCGCATCTTCGTCCACGTCAGTACACCACCACTCGCTGCGAATCACGTCGGAGTAAAGGCCGCGCTGATCGTGCCACGTCACACATACGTGACCAATTTGAGTCTTCACATCCTGAATTTCAGCATAAAGTACGGAACTTTTACGTGCACGTCAGTACTTCTATCAGGAGTTGAAAACCTCATCGCTTTTCTTCCCTCGCGCTGCCCGCATACTAAAACCTCATCATTGTGCATCTGCCGAACATCTGGTACTTCTATCATTGGGACCGAGGAGGCATTGCTGATTCTACCGCATGGCTATGATCTGGATGAGGAGGATGAACCTGCCTACTGTTTTCTTGCCCCTGCACCAGAGGAACAAGCTAGCATGGAGGAGGCATTAGCTGGCCCAGATAGGGAGAAGTGGCTGGTTTCCAGGGATGCTGAGTACAAGAGCCTGCTAGAGAATGGGACATGGGAGCTGGTGGTGCTGCCTGAGGGGAAGAAAGCCATAGAGTGCAAGTGGGTGCTAAGGATCAACACCGATAACAAGGGACAGGTAACCATCTACAAGAGTAGGCTGGTGGCTAAGGGGTTTATGCAAAAGGAGAAGCGGGACTTCAATGAGATCTTTGCTCCCACTGCCAAACCCCCTACCCTTCGTGTCTTGTTGGCAGATGCACTCGCTAGTGGGAAATTCATCATTTAGATGGATATATCTACGGCATTCCTCAATGGGATTTTAGAGGAGGAGGTGTTCATGACGCAGCCGCGTGGATATGAGGATGGTACGGGCAGGGTGTGCAAGCTGAAAAAGTCCATCTACGGCTTGAAGCAGGCGCCACGCTGCTGGTACCAGAAGTTGGCAGCTGTTTTAGAGGAGGTGGGATTCAGGACCAGCAGCTGTGATGAGAGCCTCTTTCTCAAGGGGGAGGGGGAGAAGCTGGTGCTGTTTCTGGTCTATGTGGACGACATTCTTCTCTTTAGCAGCAGCATGAAGGAGATCCAGAAGGTGCAGCAGCAGCTGATGGAGAACTTCAAGTGCAAGAACCTTGGGGAGGTAAAGTACTACCTCGGGATGCACGTGGAGAGGGATCTGGATCACAGGTGGTTGAAGCTGCACCAGGAGAAGTTCATCAAGGAGCTTGGGGAGAAGTACGGAATTGAGAATGAGCGCAAGGTTGCAACTCCCCTGCCAGCAGAATTCAAGCTTGTGAAAGCTGCAGAGGATGAAGGGGTTGAAGCCGAGGAGCAGCAGCAATTTCAGTCCTTGGTGGGCAGCCTCTTGTATGCAGCAGTTCACACGAGGCCCGACATCTCTTTCTCGGTTGGGCAGCTGGCTAGGGTGGTGCAGAATCCATCAGAGGAGCAGGTGGATGCAGCTGAGCGTGTGGTGAAGTATCTGAACTCTCACCCAAGCATTGGAGTTCAATACTCCGCATCTGCACAGGTGAAGCAGAAAGGGGTTGAAGTGCTGAAAGAGAAGGGGGAGAGGCTTGGAGAAGGCAAGCTCTTTCTCACTTGGTTTACCGATGCTACGTGGGCCTCTGAGAAGGAGGATTCCTCATCAGTGGGAGGATACATCTGCGTAGTTGGGGGAGGACCGGTTAGTTGGAGGTCAAAGAAGCAGACGGAGACAGCACTCTCGTCCGTGGAGTAAGAGTAGATGGCAATGTTTCATGGGGTGAGAAGGTGATTTGGCTGAGGAGGCTGTTGGAGGAGATTGGCCAGGAGCAAAAGGTTGCTACGCCGCTGTTTTGTGATAGCAAGGGAGCTCTTGGGATGGCCAGGAACACTGTGCTTGATGGGCTCAATAAGCATATGCGTATCAAGTGGCACTGGCTGCGTAAGGAGGTGAAGAGGGGGACGGTGAATCCGATCTACATCAAGACTCACCAGCAGCCAGCAGACTTCCTCACCAAGAGGCTTGCAAATGAGCCTCATTGGCGTTGTGTGCGCATGAGTGGAATGAGCATGAACTAGTATGGAATGATGGGGATGCAGCCGGCAGGCTGAGGGGGAGTGTGTTGGGTGCAAATTCACATTGCACGACATCCTGCCGTCTGTTTGTACGAGTATGCGTGTGCGAATGCATTTGCGTGTGAATGGTATGCTCGTGTGTTTGTTTGCTTTCGCAATTTTCGCTTGAAGCATTTGCAGGTACTCGCACAATGTGCGCTTCGGCATAACATTGTACGCGCTATGAACAGTACAAGCAGAAAGGACGAGCTCGCAAAGGAACCCAAGATGGAAGCTTTGTGGTTCGGCTTACTTGATTGCGCAGATTCAGTTCTATCCAACTCGAAATTGTACTGTTTTGTTTGGTTGAGTATAATGTAGTAGGGCAGGCACTATAGGGGTACAATTTAGGTGAAGGTTGGATGTTGTTTGTCTGTATCTGCATGTTACAGGGCCAGGGGAAACCAGTGGAACCAGCATTTGGCTGGTTGGGCAAAGACAAAACAGGTTCTGTTTTTAGGACCTGAACCTGGTTGTTGTTTTCCCAGGTTGGAAAAACAGAACCAGAGGTTGTTCACCAACCTACCACCTGCTATTTTGTCCAGCCAGGTTGGTTCTGTTGCTTGGAATTATTTGGGATCATCCCTGGTTGTTCCCAGGTTGATTCCCAAGGTCCTTGCTAGCTAGAGCTATTTATTCCTTCTCTGTTTGTTCCTGAATATAGTCAAATTGATTGAAGCGAATTCCTTCTTTGCTGGAATTTCCTTTCTACGCGGTGCGACGGCGGAATGCTACCCGAGTCAACGCTAGTATGCTAGCACTCCAACGCTAGGCTAACGCTGTCCGAGCCATAAGTTCGTAATGGCAGAACTTTTCGCGAGGCAACTTGGCTTATTTTAAAGCTCTTAGAGTGAGCTTCGATATAGGAAATTCTCAGCTTAATCCGATCGACGGTCTGCACGATACGCTGCGCGACGTTCAAGGTACTCTTGCTGTTTTGACTAAGTCCCTCTTGATCCCTCTCTCTACAAACTCGGACCCGAGGATAGGGGCTGGTCTTGTACCAGGCACCCAAGGACCCTTGGAGGTGACCCCGAGGAGAGGTTTTAAGTTTGATAAAGTCTTAAGAGCTTGAGTTTATTAGGCCCTTACACTAACAGAATCCATCAGAGGAGCAGGTGGTGTAGCTGAGCGTGTGGTGAAGTATCTGAACTCTCACCCAAGCATTGGAGTTCAGTACTCCGTATCTGCACATGTGAAGCAGAAAGGGGTTGAGATGCTGAAAGAAAAGGGGAAGAGGCTTGGAGAAGGCAAGCTCTTTCTCACTTGCTTTACCGATGCTACGTGGGCCTCTGAGAAGGAGGATTTCTCATTTGTGGGAGGATATATCTGCGTAGTTTGAAGAGGACCTGTTAGTTGGAGGTCAAAGAAGCAGACGGAGACAGCACTCTCTTCTGTAGAATCAGAGTACATGGCGATGTTTCATGGGGTGAAGGCGGTGATTTGGTTGAGGAGGCTGTTAGAGGAGATTGGCCAGGAACAAAAGGTTGCTACGCCGCTGTTTTGTGATAGCAAGGGAGCTCTTGGGATGGCCAGGAACGCTGTGCTTCATGGGCTGAACAAACACATGCGTATCAAGTGGCACTGGCTGCGTAAGGAGGTGAAGAGGGGGACGGTGAATCCGATCTACTTCAAGACTCACCAGCAGCCAGCAGACTTCCTCACCAAGAGGCTTGCGGATTAGCCTCATTGGCGTTGTATGCGGATGAGTGGAATGAGCATGAACTAGTATAGAATGATGGGGATGCAGCCGGCAGGCTGAGGGGGAGTGTGTAGGGTGCAAATTCACATTGCACGATATCCTGCCGTCTGTTTGTATGAGTATGCGTGTGCGAATGCATTTGGGTGTGAATGGAATGTTGGTGTGTTTGTTTGCTTTCGCAATTTTCGCTTGAAGCATTTGCAGGTACTCGCGCATTATGCGCTTCGGCACAACATTGTACGCGCTATGAACAGTACAAGCAGAAAGGACGAGCTCGCAAGGGAACCCAAGATGGAAGCTTTGCGGTTCGGTTGAATTGATTGTGCAGATTCAGTTCTATCCAACTCGAAATTGTACTGTTTTGTTTGGTTGACTATAGTGTAGCAGGGCAGGCACTATAGAGGTACAATTTAGGTGAAGGTTGGATGTTGTTTGTCAGTATCTGCATGCTACTGGGCCAGGGGAAACCAGCGGAACCAGCATTTGGCTGGTTGGGCAAAGACAAAACAGGTTCTGTTTTTAGGACCTGAACCTGGTTGTTGTTTTCCCAGGTTGGAAAAACAGAACCAGAGGTTGTTCACCAACCTACCACCTGCTGTTTTGTCCAGCCAGGTTGGTTCTGTTGCTTGGAATTATTTGGGAACATCCCTGGTTCTTCCCAGGTTGATTCCCAAGGTCCTTGCTAGCTAGAGCTATATATTCCTTCTCTGTTTGTACCTGAATATAGTCAAATTGATTCAAGCGAATTCCTTCCTTGCTGGAATTTCCTTTCTACGCGGTGCGACGGCGGAATGCTACCCGAGTCAACGCTAGTATGCGAGCACTCCAACGCTAGGCTAACGCTGTCCGAGCCATTACTTCGTAATGGCAGAACTTTTGGCGAGGCAACTTGGCTTATTTTAAAGCTCTTAGAGTGAGCTTCGATATAGAAAATTCTCAGCTTAATCCGATTAACGGTCTGCACGATACGCTGCGCGACGTTCAAGGTACTCTTGCTGTTTTGAGTAAGTCCCTCTTGATCCCTCTCTCTACAAACTCGGACCCGAGGATAGGGCTGGTCTTGTACCAGGCACCCAAGGACCCTTGGAGGTGACCCCGAGGAGAGGTTTGAAGTTTGATAAAGTCTTAATCGCTTGAGTTTATTAGGCCCTT